TTTTGAATGTTCTATTCTTTTTTCCTCTTCCTCTCTTCTTCTGTCTTTCTTTATCTTTTACTCTTTTTCCTTGCTCTCTCTCTGTCTCTGTCTCTATCTCTCTTTTTTTCTCTTTCTGTCTCTGTCTCTGTCTCTCTCTTTCTCTCTCTGTCTCTGTCTGTCTCTGTCTGTCTGTCTGTCTGTCTGTCTGTCTGTCTCTCTCTCTCTCTCTCTCTCTCTCTCTGCTGTCCCCCACCCTCTCTCTCTCCCTCCTCCTCCCTCTTCTCTCTCTTTTCTCTTTCCTTCCCTTCTCTCTCTCTCTCTCTGCCCCCCCCTTCTCTCTCCTCCCTCCCCCCCCCCCTCTCTCTATCTCTCTCTTTCAGTTCTGATTCGGCGCTTGCTCTTTTGCTTGCTCGAATTGTCTTGCCTTTTTCTTCAACTTGTTTACCTTTTTCTATCTTTTTATTTCTCCTTTCATCGCCTTTACATTATCTCGTTTTTATATCTTTCTTTTCATTTCCATTCTCTCCCTCTCTCTTACTTCCGTCATCTGCTTTGTCTGTACGTTTTCTGTCTGTCTGCTTGTCTCTGTGTCTCTGTGTCTGGTCTCTCTGCTCTCTCTCTCTCTCTCTCTCTCTCTCTCTCTCTCTCTCTCTCTCTCTCTCTCTCTCTCTCTCTCTCTCTCTCTCTCTTCTCTCTCTCTCTCTCTCTCTCTCTTCTCTCTTTCTCTCATCTCTCTCTCTCTCTCTCTCTTTCTCTTCATCTCTTCCTCCTTTTCATACTCTTCTTCTTCGACTTTTATCAATGTAACTACTGTATATCTCTTTTTTATCCTATCATCCCTCTCAGGATCTATTTAATTGATTTACGTGATAAACTAAAAGCCATTTCTGTATATAGAAATATTGATGATATAAATAGTAGTAATAATGATGATAAATACAAATGATAACAATAAAGCACACCAAAGTGATAAAAAAATATGATGATAAAGATGATAAACAAAATATACTAATAATGACTATGACAATGAAAATGATACTAATAACTCTAATTATAACATCAATAACATTACAAAAGCATTGAAACAATAGCTCTGTCTTATCCACAACCTAGAAATTCTTTTTTAAGATCAGGTATGATTGCTTGCTTGAGGATACCAGTTGAGGAGATTCCTTGCAACCAGGATAGTCGAACGCAAACGCAACACCACAGAAGAACCACAAGAAAGAAAAAGATAGAGAGAGAGAGAGAGAGAGAGAGAGAAGAGAGAGAGAGAGAGAGAGAGAGAGAGAGAGAGAGAGAGAGAGAGAGAGAGAGAGAGAGAGAGAGAGAGAGAGAGAGAGAGAGAGAGAGAGAGAGAGAGAGAGAGAGAGAGAGAGAGAGAGAGAAGAGAGAGAGAGAGAGAGTGTCAGCATTTTGTTTTCCCCTGACTTTGGTGGGTTATGGAGACACCGTTCTGGCTGGCTGTTATATTATTCTGAAGAGGTAGCGTGGCGTGGCTATGTCTCGTGCTGGCGCAGTTGCGGCCAAGGGGGAGCCCAAGAGGCGAGGGCGCCGGGAGCAGTAAGGCGCCTGGGGAGAGCACCAAGTGGGCTGACCAGGTCGGGGCGCTGCTCTCGGTCAACTGTCTGTCGCTTTCAAGAGAGGGTCGGAGAGAAAGAGAGAGAGAGAGAGAGAGAGAGAGAAAAGAGAGAGAGAGAGGGGGGGGAGAGAGAAGAGAGAAGAAGAGAGGTAGAGAGAGAGAGAGAGAGAGAAGAGAGAGAGAGAGAGAGAGAGAGAGAGAGAGAGAGAGAGAGAGAGAGAGAGAAGAGAGAGAGAGAAGAGAGAGAGAGACAACAGACAGACAGACAGACAGACAGACAGAGAGAAGAGAGAAACAAACAAACAAACAGACAGAGAGATAGACAGACAGACAAACAGACAGAGAGACAGATAGAGAGAGAGAGAGAGAGAGACAACCCTTCTACCTCAACCACTCCCCTTCTCCAATTTATTCATAAGCCAAAAATCTTTCGTAATCGTTTGAAGTTGTCTTTGGTCAAGAGGGAAGTCCTTGTTTTTTTATTTTTTTTTTATTTTTTATTTTCTTTTTTATTATTATTTTTTTTAGTGTTACTGCAAGTACTACCGTTATCATCATTACTGTTATTATTGTTGTTGTTATTATTATTAATATTATCATTATTATCATAACTTATCATACTTATCATTACTGTTATTATCATTATCATAATAATAATTATTATTATTGCTATCACTGTAATCATTTTTTTTATCATTATGTTTATTATCATTATTATTGTGATTGTTATTATTATTATCATCAGCAGCAGCATTATCAGCATCATTATTATTATCATTATTATTATTGTTGTTATTGTTATTATTATTATCATCAACAGCAGCATTATCAGCATCATTATTATTATCATTATTATTATTGTTGTTATTGTTATTATTATTATCATCAACAGCAGCATTATCAGCATCATTATTATTATCATTATTATTATTGTTGTTATTGTTATTATCATTATCATTATAGAAATAAGTATTACTATCATCGTCTTTATCATTATCTTTATTATCATGATCATTCTTATCACTATCATTATGATCATTCTTATCATTTTTATTTTTGCCACAGTACAATCTTCATCATTATCAATATCATTACTTTTATTGCTATTATCATCATTATTATTATTCCATTTTTGTTATTATTGATGTCATTACTATCACGATTATTATCCTTATGATTATCATTGTCATTATCATTTTTATTGTTATTATCATTAGTATTAGCGTCATTTTCATTTGTTATTATCATGATTAGTTTTGTTATTATTATATCTATTATCATTATTACTATTATTACCATAATCTTTATAATCATTATCATTATCAGTAATAATAACAATATTGTTATTATTATCATCGTTATTATTATCATATGCATTGTGATCATAATTCTCATCAGTTTGATCAAAGTGATTATCGTGATAACAGTGATTTTCATCAATATCTACTTCGTCATGTTATCACTTTCATTATTATTTGTTTTTTCCATCTTTATTGATTTCTCGCTTGTTCCTTTGCATTTATCCTCCTATTCTATCTTTTTTTTCATCTTTTTCTTATCTCTAGATCTATCTCTATTTTCTATAGGCTTATCTGATGTATCAATTCATATTCATTTCTCTCTTTTTCACTCTGTTCATTTTTATTTCCTTCTGTCTATTGCTCGATCTGCCCTTTTTCTCTGTTTCTATTCTGAATAGACCTTACCAATCTATTTCTGTTCTGAATAGATCTTACCAATCTAATTCTATTCTGAATAGGCCTACTTACTAATCTTCTATTCTGAATAAGCCTACTTATCACAATCTAGTTCTATTCTGAATAGGCCTACCTGCCAATATAGTTCTATTCTGAATAGGACTACTTTCTAATCTATTTCTATTCTGAATAGATCTTACCAATCTTTTTCTATTCTGAATAGGCCTACTTACCAGTCTTTTTCTATTCTGAATAGATCTTACCAATCTATTTCTATTCTGAATAGGCCTACTCTCCGATCTATTTCTATTCTGAATAGGCCTACTTACCAATGCATTTCTATTCTGATTAAGCCTACATACCAATTTATTTGTGTTCTGAATAGGCCTATTTACCAATCTATTATAATTCTCAATAGGCCTACTCACCCATCTATTTCTATTCTGAATAGACCTCCTTACCTATCTATCCAACTGTCTATCCATCCATGCACATATTCCCTCCCGTGTGCACGAATGATCCACATATTCCGAAGGGTTTAGAGAGACAATACGTAATGCGAAATGATATATATATATATATTTTTTCTAACGTATGTGTGGGGGAGTCGTCGAGGTTTCTATAGAGTGAAGGCTTTTGTAAGACGTTGGAAGGAGAAGACAATGTCCCTTTCTTCATCTAGTTCATGGAGCAGGGTTGCCAGAACAAAGGGGTCGCAGTTCAAAATGCTTGCAGTGTTGACTCGACTGTGAGGTTACGAAGGGAAGGTGGCTGTGTGTCCCTTCTTCTCCTCCTTCTCCTCCTCTACCCCTTTGGCTCCTTATTACCCCTTTCTCTTACTCCTTTTTCCTACCTTTCTCTTACCCTTTTGGCTCTTTATCCCTCTTTCTATTATCCTTTTGGCTCTTTACCACCCCTTTCTCTTATTCCTTTGGCTCCTTACTACCCCCTTTCCCTTAACCCTTTTGGCCTCCTACTCCCAGTTTCTCTTACCTCTTTTGGCTCCCTATTCCCCTCTTTCTCTTACCATCCCCTCTTTCTCTTACTCCTTTGGCTCCCTACCCCCTCTTTCTCTTACTCCTTTGGCTCCTTACTACCCCCTCTTCCTTACTCCTTTGGCTCCTTACTACCCCCCTTTTCTCCCCTTTCCCCCTTAACCTTTTTGCCTCCTACCCCCCTTCCCCTTACCCCTTTGGCCTCCTACCACCCCTTCCCCTTACCCCTTTGGGCTCCCCTCTTTGTCCCGAGAGACAAAAGACACGTTCGGGGAAGCCGTGAGTAAGTAATTAGTTAAGAAGAAGATGCACGGGGCATGATCTCAAGAGGAAGTTGCGAAGATAAGGAAGATTGTCCAGTTTAGGGATTGGTATTCGTGTCAGGAGGAGGAATAACTGGTAATTTTGGGTGGTATTCTTTACTGGTATTACTGGTTGTTTTATTGGTATTACCGGTATTTCTGTCTCGTTGAGAGGGAGAGAAGGAGTAGAGGAGGTTATATTTTACTCATATTACTGGTTCTTTTTTTTGTATTACTGGTATTTCTGTTTCGTCGAGGGAGGAGCGTAGAGGAGGGGGTTCAGGAGGAGGTCTTGAGGGTGGGGCAGAAGAAGGTGAAAGAGAGGGAGGAGAGCGGAAGGGGAAGGAGAGAGGGAGGAGAAGGAGGAGAGGAAGGAAAGTAGGGTAGGGAAGGAGAGAGGGAGGAGAAAGGTGAGGGAGGGGAAGGGAGAAGGAGAAAGAGGGAGCGGGAAGGAGAGGGAGGGGAGGAAAGGGAGGGGAAGGAGAGGGAGGGAAGGGAAAAGAGGAGAGGGAAGGGGCGGCCTTAGGTTCCCGTGTGCATCTTGATCCAGTCGCTGAAGTAGGAGACCTCCGTGTACACGCCGGGGGTCTCGGGGCGCGCGCAGCCGTAGCCCCAGGACACGATGCCGGCCAGGTAGGCGGACCCGGTGTCCTTGCACACGAGGGGCCCTCCGGAGTCACCCTGGCAGGCGTCGCTCCCTCCGTCAGGATACCCGGCGCAGATCATGAAGTCCTCGATGAGCATGTGCTGCGCGCACTCCTCGTCGGGCACGATGGGCACGGTCACCTTCTGCAGCACGTCCGGGGCATAGCCGCCCTCCACGGTGGAGCCCCAGCCCGACACCACGCAGTCCCCAGTGGCCGTGTGGCCCTGCTCGGCGATGGGGATGGGCTGCACGTACTCGTCGAAGGCCAGCGGCGACGAGAACTGCAGGAGCGAGATGTCGTTGTAGAGCCACGGGCCGTCGAAGTCCTCGTGGCGGATGATCTTGGACAGGATGCGGGTCTGCTCCGTGCCCTCGACGACGTCCAGGTTGTGCTCGCCGGCCACGACCTGCGGGGGAGGGGAGGGAGGTCAGGCGGGGGGGCAGGATGGGACGGGGGTCAGGCGGGCGGGAAGGACTTTGTTTGGGAGGGATTTGATGTGAGGAAAAATGGTCTCTCTTTGTCTGCGAATGTTATGCAGATTAATCTCTTCTCTCTCTCTCTCTCTCTCTCTCTCTCTCTCTCTCTCTCTCTCTCTCTCTTCTCTCTCTCTCTCTCTCTCTTTCTCGCTCTCCTGGTCTCTCTCTCTTTCTTTATATTTATTTTTTTTCTTGTAACTGTCATGCAAAGGGAAACAGGACTTTCTCCATCTTTGATTGTCCAGCGAAATCATAGGAAAGTCATCTCTAGGCAATGCAATCTACGAATTGCCAATAAGATATATCGAATATCAATAAATTAAATATACATAAATAAAAAAAATCCATCCAAAAAACAAAGAGAATTTAAGTAGATCATCGACGGACCGGACTGACGACAGACAACCAAACCGAAAAAAGTTCAACACAGACAAAACCATCAGACAGACAGACAAACAGCCAAGAGCCAAGAAATACCTGCAGGTAGTCCGGGTTATCCCAGTCCTCCGACCGACAGACAACCAAATCGAATCAATTAAACCCAGACAAAACCATCAGACAGACAGACAAACAGCCAAGAGCCAAGAAATACCTGCCAGTCCGGGTTATCCCAGTCCTCCGACCGACAGCCAATCGAATCAATTAAACACAGACCTGCAGGTAGTCCGGGTTATCCCAGTCCTCGCCGCTGACGCAATGCCCCGCGCAGATGCCCCAGTCCTCGCTGTAGATGGAGGCGCCGCAGAAGTGGAACACCTCGTCGTAGGAGATGTCCTGGAAGCTCAGCTGGTACGGGATCTCCCCCGGGGTCGCGTCCGTTCCTCCGACGATGCGGTTGAGGCCTCGGCGGAAGGTGGGGCGGTGGGAGGGCCGCCGGGGGGAGAAGAGGGAGAGAGAGGTGTGAGAGGTTTTGGTGTGGGTGTGAGAGGTGAGGGTAGGGTAGGGATTGGAGGGCAGTGTGGGGTGGGGATGATGAAGGGGATGTAGTGGGGATTGGAGGCAGTGGGGGGGGGGGGGTTGGAGGAGGTAATGGGTGGGGGGGTGAGGGAGAAGGGGGAGGGGGGGATTGGAGGGCAGTGGGGTGAGCGAGAGGGTGTGGGTGGAGGGAGTTAGGAATGGATAAAGGGAGGGATGAAGAGAGAGAGGGAAGAGGGAAGAGAAAAGGAGGGAAAAAAGAAAAAGAGAGAAAAAAGGCAAACAGATAAATTGATGATAGATGAAATGTAAGATAGATGAAAAAAATGAATAATAGAGACTTAGAAAGGAAGAAGAAATAAGACGGGAAAACAAATAGCAACAACAAAAGATAAATAAATCAATGAAGAGAAAAAAAAAATCTAAAAATCTTATTTAATGTAGTTATAGTTATGAAGGGAAACAGAAAAAAACAAAGACAACACCATGAACATAATGACATATAATGATTGGTATGATGATGAGAAGAAATGCAATTCTAATGGAAAAAATACTAATGATTGTATTGATTAAATAAAATACGAATGATTGTATTGATTAAATAAAATACTAATGATTGTATTGATTAAATAAAATATTAATGATTGTATTGATTATACCATAGATACAATTATAAACATTATGAATAGTAATAATAATGATAATTCTAGTGAGGATAATGATAATGAAGATATAACAGTGATTCAAATGATAGTAATGATAATGCTGCTGATGATAATGATAACACACGCACACATATTCACACACGCATAAACACACAGAGCATTCGAACACAAACCAATTCGAAACAGCAAGATGATAACATCCATAACAACAGAAATAAATATAGTACTAGTAATTCTAA